AGAGAGAGAGAGAGAGAGAGAGAGAGAAAAAAAAAAAAAAGGAGCAAAAGTCACGGTTCTGGCACGTTGATAGCGAGCCTCCAAGCGCTCCTATCCACCACTAAATCCTTGGAGATATTCCAATCTTTAAGGTCTCTCTTAACCGACTCTTCCCAAGTGAGTTTAGGCCGACCTCTACCTCTGTTAACATCCTCGACCCGCTGTAGAACTCCCCTACGCACCGGCGCATCAGGAGGCCTCCGTTGGACATGTCCGAACCACCTCAGCCGATGTTGAACCAATTTCTCCTCAATTGGGGCCACCCCAACCCTATTTGTACAAATAACAATTGGTGAATGATTGGGAGGATGGTGCTATGAAATGCTTTCTTAGAAGATTGGTGCATTTTAACCTCGCCTAGTGGTTTGTTCTGGTTTAATGACCATGACCTTCACTCTTTAAGGACTGTGTTCTAATTATATTTTTTTTCTTCATTGTTGCGTGAAAATTGATTTAACATGTAACACATTGCTTTCTATGTAGTGGCAAAGAGGACATCGGTTTTTGATGACCCCACAATGGAAATCCAGGAGCTAACTGCAGTTATTAAGCAGGATATAACAGCCCTTAATTCTGCAGTGGTCGATCTCCAGCTTCACAGCAGTTCACGTAATGAAAGTGGGCAAACGTCTACTGACACAACCTCTCACTCCACAACAGTTGTTGATGATTTGAAGAATCGACTGATGAATGCGACAATGGAATTCAAAGATGTCCTGACAATGCGAACGGAGGTGAAGCAATGCTTTGAATTTACTATCTACGTTTTCATTTTGGCGATGAATACATGTTAACAATAACTAGTTTTATTTTTTTTTCTCGTTTTCTCCTCCCTTAATTTTTTGTTTTTAATGAAAATATTATACATGAATAGAATTTGAAGGTGCACGAGAATAGGCGACAATTGTTCTCTTCCTCAGTTTCGAAGAATCCTACAAATCCTTTTATTCGTCAGCGCCCTTTGGCTTCAAGGTCTGCTGCAGGAACCTCGTCCCCGCCTCCTCTTCCATGGGCTAACAGTAGAGAATCTTCATCACAAACGCTCCCAAGGTCTGAGCACAAGTTGAAATTCTTTTTTTCATTCCAAAGAAGAGAATGTTTGTTCATATTGATAAAAGTAAGCATTATTCTCTAGATATACTTATTAGGGATAATTAGAGAATTAATCACCCTTATCGTTTTAGATATTTACTGAAAGCCACTCGAAGTTTTCAAAATTACAAAAGTTTCTGATGTCTGATTCCATTTCAATTTCCTCCTTTTCATTCAAAAATAGTAAACACATTTCAAAAGTTCCCCTTACATTCTTAGGTATTCCAGTTAACCATTATAGTTAAGGCAGAACCAAGTCTCAAAGTGAAGTGGTCTATTTTGTAATCTTGACACATCTCTCGATTCCTTTTATTGTAGTTAGTATGTTTTCAAGACTCAAGATAACCGAAATACTTAAACTATTCCAGATATGAATAATTACGCTTAAAATGAATAATTACGCTTAAATAACAGTAACTTACATTAAATTGCATTTGTAACAGGAATCAGGTGGATGGGGATTATCAGCCATTACTACATCAGCAACAAAACCAACAACAGCAAATGGTTCCGCTACAAGACAGCTACATGCAGAGTCGATCTGAGGCTCTTCAAAATGTGGAGTCAACTATACATGAGCTGGGCAGTATCTTTAATCACCTAGCTACCTTAGTTTCCCAGCAAGGAGAAATCTCTATCAGGTTTAAATACTTCTATAAAAATAAAATAAAATACTAAACACGTATTACATACTTTGTGACTTGTGTATTTGACATAAAACACGGTAGTCTTTGAGTCAGTTACAACTGTGTTGGTAAGCATATAAACTAGCTTATAGCTTATTTGATTAGCTATAAGCTTCCTGTATTCAAATAAGCTTGGTTTGGTAGGACGAGCTTTTTTAAAAATCCGAGCTTATCTCATAAGCTTCCTTGGGTAGCTTTTCAGATAAGCGTATTGAAATTTTTATTACAGCTAGTTTATCTGAACATTTTTATCATATAAGCTAGTTTTTCAGACATAAGTAATAAGTTATAAACTATTAGCTATAAGTTCAAAATGCACTTAAAAGCTATAAGCTAGCTTATACCAAACATAGCCTACTTAGTTTTTTGCTACCTTGGAGTTACTGATAAGCACAATGTTGTGAAGGTTTCAACTTGTTTAGTCATGGATACGATTTTCAAAAGGCGTTTGGTTAACTTTTCTTCATTAGGGTTAGTGCGAATAATTAACTCTACCTACCGAATTATCGTTTNTTTTTTTTTTTTTTTTTTGGTGGAAGAGAAACTCTTTGTATGCGTACTTTCTATTTCGTTTTTTAGGATTGATGAGAACATGGATGATACACTGTCGAATGTCGAGGGCGCGCAAGGAGCATTGCTCAAGTATCTCAACAGCATCTCCTCTAACCGGTGGCTGATGATCAAGATCTTCTTTGCATTAATTTTCTTTCTCATGATATTCCTATTCTTTGTTGCCTAGTGAATTACACATATAGACTGGATATAGTTTTGACTTTTGAGTAACCGAAAATGGTTGCGAAGCTTGGGAATTATCCGCGTAATATTTTTCGTGTCTGTAAATTGTAATTATTGCAAGTTTGTTCGCGAGCTTTATGTGTATTGCCATGTAGCTGGAAGAGGACTGAATTCTTGATGATTTCTTGTGAATTTGATCATATGATAGATTATGATTGCAGCAAAGAGGAAAAATAAAATCAGTGGTTACACATAACACTGTTGCATTTTCAATCTTCTTGTATTTCCTTTTATATTCTGATTATCACCCCGAATTTGGTCAAAATTTTCGTAATTATTATAATAGTAAAGTCAAACGAAAAGATTATGTATTACAAAAACCATTTTCTTTTGGAAATCTTGGATGCTATGATTTTTGGAATCGCAAAATTTCCTTTTGACTACAATGTCTTCCTTTTGCTTTTCAACCACTAATCATGAATTTATTGTCTCTGTTTAACTCGTGGGCTAATTTTTTTCCCCCATCAAAATTCATAATCATAAACACTCCTAGAAAATAAAAACCAAACGTGCAATTCTAGAGATTGCATGAAACTGAAGACCGTAGATAGAAATTTATGTTACGGATAACTAACATAATAACACCCCTTTATACCTAGTCGGTTTTTTGTTAGGCAGATATTTTATTATTTTTTGAACAAATTCACATATTTTTTTATTAAAAAATATACAACAACAACAACAATAACATACTCAGTGTACTCCCAACTAATATAATTTTATTAGAAAATATAATTTAAAAGAAATGGCATAATTTTTAATATGACACTTATTATTATAATTATATATTTTTGTTCATAAAATTTGATGGTCGATCCATCTAATGGTTAGACCGACTCATAATAGTTTGTGTGAACTTGCTATTATAAAGTTACTATCTGACATGCCTAACAGTTAGACCTATGTTTTTTTTTTTAAACCAAAATAACATACTTTATGAAAAAAAATATAAATAAAAGTATGACATTTTATAATGTAAGTTGCATTTTCGTAACGAGGAGTGGTAAGGTCACCTCACAAACAACAATTTGTGATTGTTGTTTTTCCTTAAAAAGTGTGATTTAAAAGAAGATTGAGAATTTCTTTTGAAAACTCTTAATAAAAATTCACAAAATATTATTACTCCTTTAATATTATTTCAGATTCCGATTTTCGAAATTATAAAGCTTTGCCTACTAGGGTAAAAAATGCAATTAACCCAAACTAGAAGAACTAGCTTTTCTCCCATTATCTGCAACTCCATTGCTGAAACCCTTCAGATTTCTCCATCTCTGCATGATAATACGCATCGTTTTGTATCTATCACAACTTTTTCTGGGAAAAAAACCACACACACACATTTGCACACACTAACACACGTAGATTCGCATACGCCGTCAAGTCCTCACTAGTCCCACCGCCTACACCTGGTCTGTTTGAATCCCTAACCAGCAGAGCGTATTTCGAGTAGCATTTACGAATTCTTCGAGCTCTCTGGATTGTGATTAGTTGTCCATCTGTGCCAGAAATACGATAAAGTCTGAAGTTCTGAGGGATTAGAAGAATCTGACAATTTTTACCTTTTTTCGCAAGATTTATTTTTGCGTCTTTTCTGATACACACACTGACTTCTGAAATCGAAATCCTGAAATAATCTGGAATTTTTGTTTGTGGGCTTTTGGATTAGCAATTGGGTCGTCGAGAATCGTTAATTCTTCTTTATTATCTAGATTCTGCGTTTGAGGTTTTTTCAGACAGCTGAAAATGGTGGGAGGTGGGATTAGAAGGGACGAGGGATCCTTTACTGTGAGCAGCACCAATGTCTTTGCAGCTCTTGATAGTCTGAGGAAGAAGAAGAAGTCTGACAAAGAGAAGGGCTCGTCTAAGGGCGGTAAGGGCACGTCGAAAGGGTCAAATGGAGTGCCTGAGGCTGAGAAGAAGGTTTACTGGGCTCCGGCCCCTTTGACGACAAAGTCATGGGCGGATGTTGATGATGAGGATGATGATGATTACTATGCCACAACTGCCCCTCCACAGGCTATATGGGGAGCTTCTGGTTCGAATGAAGCTGAAGAGACTCAGAAAGATGAGCTTGTGGAGGTATATATTGTAGAAATGAGAAATTATAGTATTTGTGTGTGTTGTTTGCTTCTCTTGGTGTGTGAGTTATGGGGTTTATCAGTGTTATATATGTATATTTTGTCATTTATTGGTTGGCTCTTTTTGGTTGTAATGAATTTAAATCTTTACTTTTATGGTGTGATTTGTGTTGTATCATCTGATCGTTGATGAAGAATGTGGCTGATTTGTTATTTTGTTTGTGTACCATGTATGATGATAACTATACGATCATTAGGTCTTGCATTCATTGGTCTTGTGGGTTAATTACGTCACATGCACACGTGTCGTCTTGTATTGTAATTTTGTGCATGTACTTGTATACGTACTGTAGTAATTTTTTTTTTATTATTATTCCTTTGTTCAACATGTGGCGGAGATATATTGCTTTGGCAATTGTGATTTATAGAATATAGATTGGGGTTGCATAATATTTGCTCACGACAAACTAATTGGTTGCTAGATTTTGTCTCTACGAATATTGTAAAGGTGCTTTTTTGTATTAATGCATCTGGTAATCAGTTTCATGTTATGCTTGATGCTTATATACTTTACACAGTTATTAGCTGAGGGACTGTGCTATCTTTTTGTGATGCACGTGCTTTGGATTTGTCTCGTGTATATTTACCATTTATGGTCTTATAAAAGGTGGTTCTGTATATGGCCTTTTCTCTTTTCCACCATATAGTTGATATATATCCTATTGTAAATGTTCGTTGTAAATTGTATGATACTGTGATGCAAGTTCCATAGCTAATTTTGTTGAATTGATATTTGAAGGGCCTTTTCCATACGTGTCATTTTGTATGTTCAATGATTTTGACGTTTTGTGTGGAATCTTCTGTTACATAATGGACTGTACAAAACATAATCTTTTTGTTCGTCGTGATTTTATTTAAAATCAATTTTGATCTCACTAATAATATAAAATTTTATATTTGTTTACATTGTTTTATGTAAGTAAGATGTGCCAACTTATGATTATGAAATAATTTTAGGATCTCTTTATGAGTCATAACTCATAGTTGCAGGAAAGTGAAAGTGAAGATGATCTTCTCGATGAAGGGGATGATGATGTGGAAGAGGAACATGACCTTGAACCAGATGTTGATGAACAGCCTCAGCCAGTATTACAAAAGACTTTTCCCGCACCTAAGGAGACTGAGAGGCAGCTTTCGAAGAAGGAGAGGAAGAAGAAGGAGCTGGCTGAGCTGGAGGCTATCTTAGCTGATTTTGGAGTTAACCCAAAAGAGAAAGCTGGAGATGAAAGATCTGGTAAATCATGTTTTCATTCCTTCAAATTCAATACCGTGACCTTTTTACTATATGAATAATACCTTGAGGTTTGGCCTGATCAACGAGAAGCCAACTAATTTTCAAAATCACAAAAAATTAGAAAAAAAAAAAAAAGGGTCCTGGAGTTTGATGGTGATGAGATATATATACTTTGTAGGAGGGTATGCAAATATTTATCCTCATGGAGGTAAATATTAAAGAACATAAAAGTTATATGGGTATTTTTGTAATTTTGAGAGATGCGTCTTTCTTTAATTTAGTCGAGCCATGTTGCATTTGGATTTAAGGAAATGAGTTTATAATTGAGCCATATAAGATAGATTTTAAATTAAAATGGCACTAACATAGGAGCTTAGGGTGTGATTGGATATAAACTTAACAAAAAAATAAAAATAAAAGAAAAATCAAAACTCAAGTTTAACTTAACATTAATTCACCTCCACTAGCTTCAATCACATCAACTTTAATTTACTATTCATTCACTCACATAATTTTAACTAACCATCACTTCCAATCATTTTTTCCTACTTTACATCAAATCAACTTCAATTATTTTGTTTTAAATATTATTTTAATTTAAACTTAAATTCTCACTAACAACAACCATACCACCTTTTTCAAAATTAAGTATGGTTAAAGAAAATTTGATCAAAAACCAATCAAATACATATCCAATCACACACCCTTAGAGATTGAAACTCTTTGAATTTGGAGATTTATTGAAAAAGCTCCATGAATATGTTATTATAATTGGAAATCCTTGGTTTCGAATTCTTCAGTCGGGATGAAAGCCTTAGGTAAACATATTTGTCTACGTTATGACCCTTTAATTGCAGGACGAGGTACTGAACATACCGCGGTGCGTTCACACTAGGGACGGTACCGTAATTAATCAAATACAGCGTTGCGTTCACACTAGGGACGGTACCGTAATTAATCAATTCAAGTGTGAACGCAACGCTGTATGTTCAGGAAGTCTTTCATTCTAACGACTGCGTTATGCTTTTAATGGTGATGGTATTGTATATTTGCATGATACTTTATATGCTCCCTTGGAATTGAAATCTTTAATAGGTAATTTGAGAGCACACACTCAATGTTTGCATTAACTTAGCAAATCCCATTCATGTTATCTTGAGGGTGCAATTATTTGGAAGAAAAGAAAATGTCTGGATCGTTTCTTATATAAAGATAGACAAAATTGCATATAAAGGCACCACCTTGAAGGTTTTTGCAATTTAATCACTACCTTTTACTATTTGCATTTAAATCACCACATTTCATATGTTTTGGTGATCCAATCATAAATTTTACTTCCATTAGACAGAAACTTTAAGCTAGCCACGTAGATCTATGCCAAGTCAAATCTAATCTAAGAGAAGTTAAATTTATGATTCGATCTGCAAAACATATGAAAGATGGTGATTTAAACGCAAATAGCAAAAGTGGTTATTAAATTGAAAAAAGCCTTAAAAGGTGGTGACTTTATATGCAATTTCTCCTGTAAAGATAATTAGAATTAGTAACTAAGGTTGATATTTTCGGTTCACCTTGCAGATACTAATGACAAGAAAGAGGGACAAACGAATGGCGATGCCGAAAAGGACAATAATGCCCCTGGCGAATCGAAAAGCGCCAAGAAGAAGAAGAAGAAGGACAAATCATCTAAAGAGACAAAGGAACCTCAAAACCAGACCAATACCTCAAACGCCCCTGGAGCCGAAAATGCTGACGAGGATTCATCAGCTGTTGACGTGAAAGAGAAGCTCAAGAAAATGGCATCCGTTAAGAAGAAGAAATCGAGTAAAGAAGTGGATGCCGCCGCTAGAGCTGCTGCTGTGGAGGCTGCCGCCAGGAGCGCCAGGCTGGCAGCCGCCAAGAAGAAGGAGAAGAATCATTACAATCAGCAGCCGATGAGGTAAGATGTGTTCGGCTTCGGATTCGGTAAATGGGCTTTTTACGGCCCGTTAAAATAAAAGACTTTTGAGTTATAGTTGTTGGACTTTGGATATGAGATTTTTTTACTTGGCTTGGCTTATATGGTTTGTTCGAGAACTTGTGTTTTGATCTTTTTAAGGTGGTGTGTTTTGATTTTGTTATAGCTCAGTTGTAACATAATATACTATTGCTTGTGGTGAATGAGACTTTCATCTGGAGATAAAATCATGAGACTGCCTTGTGAACTTGGTGTGTTCTTTTTTACAATAATATATGTAATGCTATGTATGTTTATGTTATAAAGAAAATATAAATTTTGTTAAAAAAATGTTAATTGTTCTGTCGTACAAACATAAAATCTTATAAATGATAAAAATATATTAGGAGCCATAAAAAAATAAATGAAAAAAAAAACTTGTGTATAATTCAAGAGCCAATTTTTTTTTCTTAAATTAATAGCTTATAAAGTATTGGACGAAGTATTTCGTCAATCTCACAGAGGTGTTCGTGCTCCGTAGCTTCTTCTTTTTTCATCATTTTCTCTATATTTATACAATAAATATCTCTTTATACAGTTTTGGTTTTGCTATGAAACCAACAGTTGGTTTCATAGTTGAGTCAATCTTCTATGTACAACGAGTAAACTATACTTATTCTCTGATTATTTAAATAAATACTAATAATTTTATTAATATGGTATGGTTTATAAATAAACTATGCATGTGCTTGCATATAATAAATGAGAATATATTATATTATTATGTAGCCAATCATGCATATATGTTGATGCATATGTACAATGTGTAACAATAAACATGCATCAAATACTTCTATATATATCACATGAAAAAAAGAAAATTAATTTCTTTTTTCTCTTAAATTAACATCCACATTGCATTATGATTCTAATTCATCACATAGTTTCTAGTGATCAAGTTCAAGAACTCCTACATCATTGTAATCCTATGGAGGATGTTACCACATTTTTCATATGCAACACGCTATTGTGTTGCGATTACTTATAGAATAAAATTTTCAATAATGAATATGTGTTGAAATCACATGTAACTGTATTGTGGTTACTTATAGAATAAAATATCAATAATGAAGATAGTTCAAGATGTGAGTGATTATGTTAAGCACACTCAAAATTAGTCAATACTTAGTCAATCCAACAAAAATCCTTATAATATCAAATAATATTTAGATTTATCAGTTTGGTCAAATGTCAAATGTCATATTGTTGATCCCGTCCGTAAGTTATGTTCTATTAATTTATTTTAGAATTCAATGACCATTTATGAAAAAAAAATATTTATTTACAACAAAAATTGTGTTCTATTAATTTATTTTAGAATTGAATGACTATTTCTTAAATTATAAAATCCATGCAAAACAATAAATATATATATATTTTTACTAAAGATTCTCATACTAGAAACAAAAATACAATATTTGACCCGTCTCATAGTAGACAAGCCACGTCATCCACCAGAAAACGACAAAATATCTACTGCCAGAAAAAGGTGAAAAAGGAAGTTATAAAACCATCATTTTCTCGCATTTTTTATTTGTCTGCCCTTTTCATTTATCGTCT